ATTGTATGATTTTGTAATACATTGAAATTAATAATTGATGGAATATTTTGAAATAACATTAAAAATATAACCATTAATATATTAAAAAATTAAAAATTATTAACACAAGTATTTTTGTATTATCTTTTATTAAAATTAATATTAATTTGTTTATTATTTATTAAAATATATATATATATATATATATATATATATATATATAAAGTTATTATTTTATTTATGTATTTATGATTGAAATATTATTAATATTTAATATTTTATTATATTTTTTTTATATAAAATATATAAGTATATGAATAATAAGAGATGAAATATAATTTATATTATATTATATATATATAATCATATAAATTCTTATCATTATTTATGTAAATGTATAAATATACTAACATTCTTTTATTAAATTAATGCATATGTCTTAATTTAAATTCTTTATTACCTCAATTATGATAATATATACTTTTTTAGCTGTGTAAACATTAGACTAGCAATGTTAATAGTAAAAACAAAAATATTAAAAATGTAAAAAAAAAAATCTTAAACCTAGAACCAGTTTCCCAAAGGTAAAACCACCCACATACAAATTAATACGAAATCACATTAGTTAATATCTTACTACAATTTTATATAATTATAAAAATATAATGAAATGCACATTTGTTCTGGTAAGAGATTATATATAACAACATTGAATTTTGTTTGTTCATAACAGGAATATGAATAAGAAAAACTATAAATGGCAGACAATAAATAAAAAATAATAATGTCATAATTATGAAACAAAATTAGTAGTTCCATTTATACCAACAAAAATCTGAAAACAATAATGGAAATTCAAAAAAGAAAGATGAATGTGGAAGTGTGGACCACGTGTGATATTTTGGTAAGTTGGGCTTCGTATCCAATGAGATAATAATACGAATGATGTCAACAAAAGAGAGATCAATTGTGCTACGCAAGTAAGCGTAGCAAATGATACATAGTCCCACTTATATAAGCTAATTCAGGTGTCGTATCGAAAATGAAAACAAACACTAGGGTCCCCGATTATACATCAAACCAAATCAAACCAATTTAAATAATTAATTAAAATTAAACAAATTAGCATTGTCTTTTTTATTAGCTTTATTTAATAAATATATTTTTATCCAAAAACATTGTAGAAAAATATAATAATTACACTCATACAAAATTCATTTAAGAACAAAAGAATAAATTATCACTTTTACAATAATTAATTAACTACGTTTTAAAAAGTTTTTTTAAATGAATTCTAACACAAATGTTGAAAATAACAAGTTCTCATTATCAAAAACTCTTCTGTAGTGCTACAATAAATTCTTATCATTAACCTTCCAAATATCACACCAAGCATATCATAAGAATGTGTGATAGTCATGAGAAGGAAAAAAAGAAGAAGAGAATATAGTACCAGAAAGGTTTTATTTTCCTAATTTGATACCTAAAAAAGTGCATGATATCAACTTTATCATTCACATTATTAATATTCAAATATTATATACAATATTTTTTTTTAATAATATGCTAAGTATATATAAGAGTAAACTATGATATGTTATTCCAAATTACATATTTGAGATATGTTATTTAATTCTTTCAATAATATAATTTTTTATATTTTGAATTTCATTTAATATGTGATTCATATTCTCCTTATTTACTACTACAATTACCATAGATTTAATAAATGGTTGTCAAGGTGTTACATACTAGAAGATCTTTATTTTAATCCTTAAAATATTCTATTATATTATTCTTTAATTTAACTCTCATAAAAAAATTAATAAAATAAATAATAACATAAGATACCGTGATGTAGGATAAAAAGACATAGTTAACTATCTAATCCTTTAATGTTGAAAGAGTAGTGATACATGAAATTCAAATTTGATAGAATTGTGTTTTTAGGAAGAAGTGTAAATAAATTTTATTTTATTTTTAGTTAACATAAATAAATAAATAAATAAATTTATGATAAAAGAATGATATTTTTAAATACAAACTATTCCCATACGTTTATATATTATTTAAAATTTAAAATAAAAAATAATATATATATATATATATATATATTTTTTTTTAAGAGAGTCTTTTAAAAATAAATTCAAATAAAATCTCAAATATAAATATTCACCGTAAATATATTATCATACGATATAAGATCCATAAAACATAAACAATACAGTTAAAAGATATTTTCTAAATGAATAATGTTTAGTATTAAAAATTTGTACCAATAACGTCCAAGGTCTGCATAGAAAGATTTTATCAAATAAGAACCTAGTAAGTATGTTGTAAGTGTGAACATTCTCAAACTATCCTGTCATATATTAATTAGGATAGTGGTGTTCCCACCAAAACAATAAATTAGGATACTGGTGAAGTTATTTATTTGGAGTATGTCCCATTTATTCTTGTATTTAGTCAATGTATAAAAATCTAACTACCAAAAAGTGCATAAATTTAGAAGGTGGTGAAGTAGTTTATTGTTTCTGAAGTCCAGATAGATTAAAAAAACTTATAAATTTAAATTAATTTATATATTTTTAATAAAAATATATAAAATAATATTGATATAAATTACTTTACTTATAAAATAATTTGAATTTATAAAAAAATTAATAGTATTTTCCATTTTTAAAACTTTTTAGGCAAAAGTTTGTAAAAACATTTTTATTAATTGATTTTAGAGATTGAGACTTTTTTCTTAAACAAATTTTAATCTATGACAAAATAATTTTCTTTAATTTTTTTACATAAAAAATAAAAAATTATAATATATAATAAATATATTATTATTATAAATTACGTTATTATATTACATAAAGATAACAACTTTAAAAAAAATTTATAATATAAATTACACCAAAATTACATATAATTAGTTGCAAATAACTTTATTTTACATTTTTAACAAATTATGGAAATAATATAAAATATAATTTTAACTAATTTATATAAATTTATGTTTTACTTATATAAATATTTTTTTAATTGTAAAATTTATAGAAGATTTAAAAATATTTATATATATAAGATAATAATGGTAAATAAAAAATGTGTTATATACTATTATATAATTTGATATTAAAAAATATACAAAATATATTTTATTTATATAATATGTTTTCTTAAAATTATAAACTAATCATATAATTTTTTTAAAATAGTATTATGATTTTATTTTTATTCTATGAAAATACTTGAATTATAATTTTTTTTAATATATTACATTACCCGTTATATTTTTTATTTCATATATATATATATATATATATATATATATTATTAAGAGTTTTTTTATTCATTATCTTCCATAAACATTTGTGAAGATTAATTTGATATTTAACTTTTTATTTTATATTGTGTAACAAATTAATATAAATTGAAATTAGATATTGATTAATGTGGTGCAATAAAATTGGACAGAACCTTTATTTGAAAAAAATAAAACAGATTATTAAGTTAATTGAAAAAAAAACTGACAAAATATTTTCACTTTTATTTTCAACAAAATAAAATGAAACAATAAAAATGTATTGATATTTATCATTAATATAAAGTAAAGAAGTATTGATTTTCTAAATTAATTAACTGAAGTACAAGTTATAACTTTGAATAAAATAAATCATAGATTATATTTGCTTAGGCTTATAATAACAAGGACCATGGTTCACGGAGAAACATCTTCCGTTTTTATTAATGTTTATATTCTAAAATAAAATATTGATGAAATAATATAAATTTTTAATGTAAAAAAAAAAGTATTGACAGGATGTAGGTATAAATGGAAGTTTAATTTCATTTACTTTTTTCTATTATTAATGAATGCTTGGAAACAAATGTTTTGACACACCACAATACAATTAAATACAAGTGGGTATGACCACCACATGATTAAAAATCCCAAATATGATGTTTTGTCAACTGCTATGGGCTCTGACAGGGCAAACTCATGGTTACCCTCGTCACGTTAACAAAACTCTTCTTCCATGTTTATAAATCAATCAATCTTATTATTAGAGTTCGCCCTTTTCTCTTGTCCCTGTCTCTCTGTCTGTCCACGCTTCACACGCTTCTCTCTCTATGATCTGTGTTTAATTAATTTCCAGAGTTTTCACAATCTCCTCCTCTTCTCTTTCTCTGATTTCAATACCAGAAAACAAAACTGCGGAAATTTCCTCTGCTGTAGTTTCCCCTTCGATTCTCTCACCGTGTTTTGTCAAATTTGCATCTAATATAGTATTTATTCTGTTCGTTTATTCCTTATTCTTTGTGTTTTTTCCTTTTTTGTTGTTTTCCTTTGTATATATTGCTTGATCCCCTCTCTGAGAGCTGGAAACTGTTCCAGTTCCCCGAGAATTCGAACACGAGATTAGTTCCTAGCTTTCTCTGTTCGGGTTCTTTGGACTTTGGATTCGTGGGGTTTCCGCAACGCTCGCGAAATCGTGCCCTCTCTGTAATGCTGCTATCATGCGTTCTGGTGAGCATTTTCCTGTGTTTACTTTGCGGCTACGTGAAAATCTTTTTTTTTTTTATTTATTTTTTTGTTATGGCTGGGTTTCATTCTCTGTTGTTGAAGATTGACCAAAAGAAAAACCGTGATTATGTTTCTAAAACTGCATGTTCTAGATTCCTTCCTGAATTATGTACTTTAATTCAGTCATGTGAATCCTTTTTATCCTTCTTGTTTGGGATTGATGATTAATTTCGTTGCATTAATTTTTCCCCATTTATTTATTTTCCATTTTCTGATGTTTGCATCTGAAATAGAATCATGTTGGTGACGAGGGTGAGTTTTTTTTTTTTTTTTTTTTTATTGTTGTGGAAAATCTCAAAAGCGTGTTTGTTGCTGTGTTGCAGTGATTTTTTCGTAGCGAGATTTGTCTTGTAAATTGGGTTTGAACTTGGCGACTCAGCAGCAGTCTGAATTTGTGTAAATCTACTCGTACAATTATCTAGCGTGGAGGGTGGACAAAATGGCCTCTGAAATCAGTTCTGTTGTTTCAAAATTGCAAATGGTATCCACTTCGGACCATTCCTCCATTGTCTCCATGAACTTGTTTGTGGCCCTTCTTTGTGCTTGTATTATAATCGGCCATCTTCTTGAGGAGAATCGGTGGATGAACGAGTCTATCACTGCCCTTTTGATTGTAAGTCTTCTTCACTGTCCTTGAGCTTGTTTTCCCTAAGCTGTTCAAAGTATATATGTTAAATTAAAAATTAGTCCTACTACTAACATTGCTTTTTGTTTTAACCCCTTAGTGGAAAAATTCGATATTTTGGTTTCTAAGCGTAAAAATGTTTACAAAATGGTATTTTTGATTTTTGGCGAATGTTACAACAATTATAGATTTAGTCTCTGCACTTATAATATTTTTGCTTTTGGGAAAATATTCTAACACCTTTTATTGTTAACAAATGCAATAATTTGCAAAGATTTTTCATGTAGGGACCAATGCGTTGAATTTTTACACGTAGAAACTAAACTGGAAAATAGTCTCACATAGTGAAGACCGATTTTTTTAATTGAACCTAAAGAATTCAACTCCTCCAAATATTTTGCCAAACTTTGAGAGGCAGTGATATCTGTGTATTGATGCTTAGTTTGAGCACTAGTGGGTGCAGCTTTATTTTTTTCTTATTTCTATTGGATGATGATTAAATTTCAAATTTATTTTTCTCAGGGTCTTACCACTGGCGTAGTCATTTTGCTGTTTAGTGGTGGCAAAAGTTCTCATATTCTTGTTTTCAGTGAAGATCTTTTCTTCATATACCTTCTGCCGCCTATAATATTCAATGCTGGGTAATTTTCTGTTTTCAGCAGCATTATCTTATCTAGCTGGGAATTATTTATATTCTTTTGTTAAAGAAGAAGGGGAGTTGTTTTGTGTTGCCCCTTTACAAATAGAAAATTTCCTTCCAGATATCACAATGTGATCATCTGAAAGTAGTCTGGTCGATTTTGCAGATACAATGCCATACTTAATGATTAATGTGCGTCTTTCCGGTGTTTGTGTTTTTTTTTTTTTTTTTGTTGTAGGTGGAGAGGAAGGGATAGAACATATTTCTGCAGATTTAGAAACTAGTCATAATTAACGTTATATAATGGTGGATTATTTTTAGGAGCTTATTGCATCTGTAGAGTCTGGCTGTTTGAAATGTACCTGATGCTTGCACTCCATACACTTGCTTGCACACTTGTACTGATATGAGGGACTTAGAACTCGAGTCCTAAGTTTATTTTCCCCATTTCTTTACTTCAATATTTGAAAATTATATGACTGATACGTTACTTGACCCTTTCTTGCAGTTACTATCGGTGGTTTTATTTGTTATAATTGTTTACATGACTACGTAGTTAAAAACATCAATTTTGTGTATCCATATATGAACATGAATTGTATTAATGCCACATGAAAATTTTCAGAATCATATTGTTTTCCCCTCCTAAAATCCATGCTCTGAGTTCTCAAATCTATGTTTTATTCTTATCTTTTACTTCACATGTATGATACATTGCAGTTATTGTTTTCTTATGGATTTGTTCTCTGTAATTCATTTCAGGTTTCAGGTGAAAAAGAAGCAGTTTTTTGTTAACTTCATGACCATCATGTTGTTTGGTGCTATTGGTACATTAATATCTTGCGCCATCATAACCTTTGGTATGTATTATTGCTTTACACGTATTTATTAGGTTATTTAAGATTTGACACAGTAAGCAAACAAATTTGCCTAGTTCTGCTGACTTAAATTTGAGCCATTATTTCAGGTGCGACACAAATTTTTAAGAAGTTGGATATTGGTCCACTGGAATTAGGGGATTACCTAGGTATTTTACTTGTCAATATCATCTACCTGGCAACCTCTCATTTGATTTTTGACTTACTAATTTATGATATTTCCAGCTATCGGTGCAATATTTGCTGCTACAGATTCTGTTTGCACATTGCAGGTTTGAAACAATATAGCCTTTACATTCTTCCCGCAACTAAGGTATCACTGCTAGTTACTGAAACTTATGAATGATTATGCAGGTGCTAAATCAGGATGAGACACCTTTGCTGTACAGTCTTGTATTTGGGGAGGGTGTTGTGAATGATGCTACATCAGTGGTGCTTTTCAATGCAATCCAAAGCTTTGACCTCAACCAAATAGACCCTTCAATAGCTTTGCACTTTTTGGGCAATTTTTTGTATTTATTTATCTCAAGCACAATGCTTGGAGTGTTGGTAAATGTTTTTCTCTCTCCAATACTCATGCATACATCACACTGACTCATAGACAAGATCTATATCAACATTGATATAACTCGTGGATATGGTCTAACGTATCTCTATCACCTTGCAGACAGGTCTACTCAGTGCTTATATTATTAAAAAGCTGTACATTGGAAGGTATCTTCTTGACATTTTCCCATTTTGATAATCTGTTCAGCAGTAACTGTGATGGTATTCCACTGTTTTATTATATATATGCAGTTAATTCACAATGAACTAAAGTTGCATACAATGGTACGCTAATTAATAAATTTCCTGCTTCATCCAATCTCAATTTTTTGTATTATTTGTTAACTTAACAAAAGTTTACAGTATAAGAAGATTACACTGAACTAGTTTTGATTGTTTGAACTGTGAAGTAATGTTAACTGGTTCATTTAAGTTTTTATTTCTTATTATTTATTATTATTCTAAATTTTATGTTGTCCATTATAAGTTATTTTATACCACTTAAACAATAATAACCTGATGCAGAGAAACCAATAAAAATGTGAGACTTGTTAGGCACTGGGTTTTGTATGAATTATAAAACATTGTGCATCCCTGAATTCTGGTTTGGGACGATTTGGTGTCATTTTAATTTGTCTAATTTTTTTTTTTCAAGAGAAAAAAGTTACATGAATTCAGTTAACTGTTTTAACTTGGAACCTCTGTCTGTCTTTGTCCATCTGTCAGTTTGTGTATGTTTCTTCCTGAGTACAAGTTTTTTTATGGGACTTGGCACAAGATGATTTGAAACAATTCTTTGTTGACGTTGAACACATTTCTCCTTAATTACAGGCATTCTACTGATCGTGAGGTTGCTCTTATGATGTTAATGGCATACCTATCCTACATGCTAGCTGAAGTAAGTTTTACAGAATTTTAGTAACATTTTCTGGCTGCTGTCAACATTTGTAATTAACATGATGCTGATGTATCTACATCTTTTGCAGTTATGCTATTTAAGTGGCATCCTCACTGTATTCTTTTGTGGGATTGTTATGTCTCATTATACCTGGCATAATGTGACTGAGGGTTCAAGAATCACTACCAAGTATGTCTTCTAAACATATTTCCTCATGTTATGTACACTGTTCAAGTCTATGCATTTCTAAACGTATTTTCATCTAACTCTTGCAGGCATTCTTTTGCAACCTTGTCATTTGTTGCTGAGATCTTTATTTTCCTTTATGTTGGTATGGATGCCTTGGACATTGAAAAATGGAAATTCGTCAGTGATAGGTATTCTTTAGACTTGTTAATAATAATTTATTCATCAACCTTTTTTCACTCTTGAAAAATTTCCGAATGGCATTCTTTCATGTCCACAATTGGTGTGGCGTAGCTTCTCTATTGAAACAATCCTTGTATTGCTTGATGAGAGTTGGGAATTCTTCTATAGTGCTGTTTTATTTTATTTTTCTTTAGCAAATTTTTATTCTTCATTCGTCAATCTTCTCAACACTTCGGCATCTTATAGTAGAAAAACAGTTAACTTTCTACACTTGGTTCGTCCTGCAGCCCTGGAACATCTGTAGCAGCTAGTTCAGTATTGTTGGGTCTAATTCTTCTTGGAAGGGCAGCCTTTGTTTTCCCCCTATCATTCATATCTAACTTGGCTAAAAAATCAACAAGTGAGAAAATCAGCTTCAGACAGCAAGTATGGCTAAATTTCTGTCAACGAGTGCCCTTTCCCAGATTTCTTGTGCTACTAAGTTTCACTGACAGGTTTCTCCTTGTTTCTCAATTTTAGGTGATTATTTGGTGGGCTGGTCTTATGAGAGGTGCTGTTTCAATGGCACTTGCATATAATCAGGTAGGAGCAACAATGCTTATAAGTGTTTTTGTTTTGTCTTTTGGTAAATTGAATTATTGGCCGCTGAAGATAGGATCATTTGCCCTGATGCTTTAAAATCTGATGCTCTTAACAAATGCAGTTCACCATGTCTGGGCATACTTCTCTACGATGCAATGCAATCATGATCACCAGCACCATCACTGTTGTACTTTTCAGCACAGTGGTAAGATACTTGTTTTGTAGTTGCTGAAATCCAGAGCCAGTGTCAATAGTTTCTTCTTATTATTTTGTCTTTTGCTGTATCACTGCTATTCATTCCATTGTAATCATTTGACTTGCTTTCTATGATAATAACAAGATTGATTTTTCCACTTGTCTGCTCTGCCAGTCTGCATAACTAACTGCACCTGCACCTTGTGATGCTCATAATTAATCAAATTTGACATGGTTAAATGTTATTATATAAGTTTTCTTTAAAGATGGTACTGACACTACTTAAATACAATTCTCAGGTATTTGGTTTGATGACCAAGCCACTCATAAGGCTTTTACTGCCTCATAATCCACTTCCTAAAAGCATCGGCACAACCACAGATCCATCTACTCCAAAATCAGTCATTGTCCCACTTCTTGAGAGTGCCCAAGATTCTGAAGTCGATATTGGTGGCAATGAAGTCCATCGTCCAAGCAGCATCCGCGCATTGCTTGCCACTCCAACACACACTGTTCATCGTTTGTGGCGTAAGTTCGATGATGCATTCATGCGTCCTGTTTTCGGTGGCAGGGGATTTGTTCCTGTAGAACCTGGTTCTCCAACTGAACGTAATGGCCATCAATGGCATTGAGGGAAAAGGAAGCAACATGTAATTTATATTTTGTAAACTGCACAAATTTTGTGTTGGTCGAGCAATGCGTGTATAAGAATCCCCTGTATTGAGATTTTGTTAGCTCTTTGGGTAGTGAGAACTGAGAACTGAGAAGGCTATGCAGGGCAACATAAGTCATCTTAACTCATCTCACTGTCTTCCGTTGTAATGTAATATTTGATTATTAGATTTCTTAACCTTTATCACTGTATTTAAGGTTTGAATGGCTAAAGAAACTAAATCTTTTTCAAGTTTTATTTATCGAGTTTATCATTTGCAACTTCAAAGATGAATTTTTAGTGCACCTGATTATCGACTCTCGTTCCACATTATTCCAGTGCAAACATTGCAGCAGGACACATAATTTGGTTGAATGAGACTACTCTGCATAATATGCAAAATTTATTTCGATTAAAAAGCCTCCAAAAGGCTTTTTTTCATTGTATTTTTTTTTTGTAAATATTTATAGAGAAATTTGGTTTTGTGCGTTTGATTATGAAATTAATCCTGATTTTGAGGTTTCGGGCATGCTTGAATTTTTGTTTGAGATGTTTCAAAATCAGTTCTGGAAGTAAATCCAATTTTGTAACATATGTTTGATTACCTCCAAAACTATGTTTGTATACTTATATTTTATTTGAAACTAAGTTTGCATAAAAGCAAGATTAAGGTTCAGAGTTTAGTCATGTTTAAGGCTTCGTATCCTTCTCCAAGTTGTATTATTCAGGAATTGAACTCAAAATTATATCTTATACCATAAAAGCAGCATGTTTTTCATATAGAAAGGATTATTCCTTTTTATAATAATTTAGCCAACACCTAATGCCATGATACCTCACACAATCCTCTCAAAGTTAATTTTGAATATTTTTGTTTATTTCATTTTTATTTTTCTTATTCTGAAGTATCATCCTCTTAACTTTTCTTATAATACAAATAATGATAAAATAATAACGTGTTAAAAAAAATTACAACATTTGATACCGAAGATCTAATTATCAGAAAACAAATTATTTTTCGTCTTTGTATTTTTAAAATTTCATATTTGGAATTTATGAATTCTATTTTTAATGTTTTTAGTTATAAAATAAAACTCAAGAATACATCTTATTTTTTATTTCACAATTTTTTATATTTGTAATTTATTACATATTTACAAAATTTATATATTTCAAATTTGTGAAATATCTTACTCAGCAACTCAATGGTTCAACTTAAGAATTATAAATATTTAAATAATAATAATAATAATAATAATAATAATAATAATAGACAGTTAATAAAGACTCGTAATATTTTTTTTAAGGTTAAATGATAAAATGATATGTCTTATTAAAACTTTATAATAAAGAATCTTCTAGAATAAAAACTTTGTGAACTAATCGTAAAAAAAGTTTCTCTTTAGACAAATATTTCTGTAAATAAATGTATTAAATTTTCCGTAAGTCAATCTTGTAAATTTCTATCTCATAATTTTTAAAAATTTATGAGTGAAAAAAGTAATTTCAAAAGAATTATATTTTAATTCATCTCATGTAATATATTTTTCTTTTAATGTAATATAATATATGTCTTTATTAATAATATAATTTAAATTAGAAGTTTGTGTATATATTATGTGATGATAGTATTACTTTTATTATTTATTTCATATATTGTGATAAAATCATAATATATTATTTATGAATGAATATTTTATCGAAATCCAATAAATAACTTTATATGTGATTAAAATTCATAAATTAATCCTTCAAGAAGAAAATGTAATATATGTTTTCCTTTAATAAGTTCAATGTCATCTTATAAATAAAAAATAATATATTACTAATAAATTTACTTTAAATGTTAAAATATATTAGTGTTCCTCAAATGTTATTATATGATAGTAAAAAACGCATATTTTTCTTTAAATTTAATTTTTCTTATCTTTGTGTAAAATATGTCTACCATTAGAATGTATAATAAATATGATTCGAAGAATTAAAAAAAAAAAACAAGACATGAGAGAGGATTAAAAAGAAAATATATGTTATAAAAATAATTCTATTATTAAATATTAAATCTTTAATTTAAACAAATTTTGTACTGCGAAGATGTTCATCTATCTCATATATATAAAATTTTATTTCCTAACAAAAACTAAATAAATTTATTATTTATTTTGAGGAGGTTGACACGAAGAATGATATCGGAGAAGGAAAAGGCAGCCATGGATGATTTGTAGGTATTATTTGTATCACTCGGAGCCACCAGTCACGGCGATACCTGTGATTCTTCCTCAATCCACCTCACACTCTTCAACTCCACAATACATATTCACTCACTCTTCAACATCTCCAAACTCCTCTTTTTCCTTTCAATTCTCAAAATTAGGTTTAGGGTTTTCCTTCTTTCTCAAAATAAATAAAACTAAGGAGTTTTGGGAGATATGGTTGACCAATCGTTGCTCACACTCGAAAATCAAGGGCCGAATTCAGTGTTATCTGAAGGAATTCACGATTGGGTGTTTGAGTGCCATGGATTTTTGCACAATGCGGTATTGATCGTCGCTTCATTTCTCTTCGTCTTGTACTTAGCACTGCAAGCTAGGCAAAGCTTCCTCAAACTCTCACATGGCCGTTCTTACATCATTATATCCTATTACGCTTCTCTCTGGCTTGTCAGCATCCTCAATCTCGTTTGGTGCTTTTCCCAGGTCAACTTATGTTTTCTCTCAATTTCTTTAATCCAGCAATAAATAAAGTAATGAGTAAGGTTACAGTTTAGTTAAAAAATGTTCAACTTGTGTAGCTTTGGACCTTGAATTGTTTACACTTTGTCAATTTAGAGTACATGTTTGGATTTTTGTCGGATGATTCGAATATTCAGAGCTAGATTGAAATACTAGTTAGTTGGATTTTAAATTAATGTTCATGGTTTCAGCTTGAAGAATGACTTGATTATGGGTACAAAATTGATTTTAAGTTGAAGCAATTTTGCATCATATTACTTTAAAATATATCTAAACATAAATCCTATCACTTTAAAATCAATTTGAACCAAAATCAGGTTTACAAATTCAATTTGAAAATGTCTACTTAATCATACTCTTAGTAGGGTAAACATGTTGGTAATTTGTATAGACTCTAATAAAGATGTGGTTATGGGGTCTAAACAGAACCAGCTGTCACATTTTTGGATCAAATTGAATATTATTATAATTAACTAAATCTTATTTCTTGTAAATGGTGTTAATTATTTCTGTGATCTGCTGGCGTTGGTGAATGTGTAATTCTTTAATTGATGCAGACATGGGAGTGCTCTCCTGGGAAAGAGTTTGCGTGGAACATGTTGTCCCTCTTTACTACTTCCGGAATGTTATTTCTAGAAGTGAGTTTGCTTGCGTTTTTGCTTCAAGGAAATAGTACCAGTGGCTTAGAAGCGTTGACTCGAACATTTGGTATATCGGGGATTATAGTTGGTTTTGATATCTTGTTGAAGGTAACTCTGGGTTATTTCTGCAAGCTTGCTGCATGTCCTTATGATTATTAATGTATTAATTGTTGCAATTCCACCTTTTCTTTGTTAGGCTATATATCTGTTTGCGTTTGGGATTCCAATTTTCGTCAACAGTGGTTACCCTACTCCTCACGTGAAGTGGAACTTGTGGGTCATCCACAAGCTGTTGCTTACCCTGGTTTATGGTTTCATATTGTTCATATATCATTCTAGGTGGAGAGAAAGGTTACCTGGTAAGCTAGTTGCCTGAATTGTTATATTATATCTTTAATCAGTTTTATGATAGCATATTTTTTCTTACTCCTTTTGCAGCGAGGCCTGCATACTACAAGTATGTTACTGTTATGTTTATCTGGAATGCAATTGCACTATTTGCTTGCGGCATTACCGGAAGCGGTGCTTCCTTTGGTTTCTGGTTAGATTCTTGTATTACTCTGTTGCTTAGTAAAGAAGGGATTCTTTTGGCTTCTTTCTCTAAAGCTGTGTGTTTTACATTTGTGCGCAGGTTATATCATTTCACGATTGTATGTTACCATGCCGTTTATCTTCCCCTTCTGTATATAACTTTCCTGGCTGACTTTTTTCAGGTCATAGTGCCCTTAACTTAATGCCCGGAGTTCAATTTTTTCTGTTCAAACATCCGTTTTGTTTGTAGGAAGGAGTTACGCATCTTCCTTCTTTTATTGATCTGACTGATTGTTGGAATTGTGATGGTTACAGGAGGACGATTTGCATTTGGAAAACGTGTACTACTCTGAAATGAAAGATGCTGGCTTCTTCGAAGCAGATTGGAACTGAAGTGGTAATTGCTATGTTTTTCGATTAATAAGGCCTCAATGTACTAATTACAGGGCATCCGTTCACGAATTTTGTAAATAAAGTAAATATTTCAGTAGATCGTTTTAGTGGATAAATTTTTAACATATGTGTTAGTAGCCTCAGGTTAATGATATATTAGAATGTTCCATGCGTGCTTTATCTTGAATTTTAGTTTTCTATTGCTGCAATTAATGAATTTCGGAAAAAATAATGAGTGCTAGAACAACCAATTACGCTTCAAGCATTTAACGCATGCAGAAAAATATTTGTTTTTAAGTAAAGAACTTGCATTCGTGTTGCATAAATAAATTGTTTGATTAGAGGAAAATGAAGTTGGGTGGGAAGAAAATGACAGAGAAGGGAATGAAGGGAGGTGGGCAAGGTTATCGAAACTTTGGTTAAAATATTGGGAAAGGAGGTAAGAGGTTTGAAGATATTTTGAAGGTTAACGTAGGGGCATGGGCCCAAAACGAAAGCTTGTCCAACACGAGGAGAATAACTAGTTAAACGAGTATGGGTTACTGGGTCTACTGTTTTATTTTACGTTTTTTAATATCTTTTTATCTCTATAATTATAATTTTTTTCATTAATCGTCAAACACGTATTACTAATAGATAAGTACATTATTTGTAGTTGTATTATTAAATTTTGGTTTATGCCAAGTGATTGGTGCATTTAGCTCCTAAATAAATATAGTAAGTGATGAATATATTTCTAAAAAATGATTTTTAGTCATTACAGATAGTGAATTGGTGTCTAGTTAGTTATGCAGCAATTTAAAATTGAGGTTATATAATAAGTGATGATTATATTTTAAAAGAATGCATTAATTATGCAGCAATTTTATGTGATTGCATCCTTTTATGAGCCTTTCCTGATGCAAAAATCACAAGATTCACATAATTTCCCACCGCAAACAGCAGAGTATGCAGATAAAATACTACTACTATATGGAAAACTATGCATGCCTATTAGAGATTATTTTTCATCTGATAAATGTTTACGCTTAAGGACTCTGTTTACTGATGATCTCCTCGATAAGATCTGCAGCATCCTGAACTGTTGAGATGCTCTGTGCACTATCTTCTCCTACACTGATACCAAATTCTTCCTCAAGCCCCATCACAATCTCAACCTAAAGAGCATGCCACGTATAAGTAAATCACAACAAGCAAAATGAACTGGGTATTAATTTATGATTAGATTTGCTAAATAAATGCAAAAATCACTGAATGGAAGCAATTATGGCAAGATGTTCTTTACCGTGTCTAGTGAATCAGCTCCAAGAGCCGCGAATGTTGACTCGCCAGTGACTTTAGAGTCATCTGGTAGAGCCAGCTGGTTCTTTACGATCTTGCACACCTTTTCTACTGTCTCCGGGTTAGCCTGCTCAATGCATTTAACATAAGCATGAAAACATTGAATGAAGTGCAATTATAACATTGATTAGATGTATGGAATGAATTATAAAATATGAGATTTGACTTCAGAAAATTGACAAAATGCAACTATAAAGGGCATATATAACATTAATTAGAAAACCAAAGGTTGAGATTGCAATGAAGTACATACACGCATATTAAACTACAAATTTAAACCAAAGTCAAAAGTAACAATTTGCAAGTTATAACTGTACTGTATCCTTAATCGTCTAGGGCTACTAACTAAAACAAATTAATACCAAAATGGACCGAATTATAAAAATAAATATTTTGAAGAAAACATTGATCATTTGTCCCTAAACCTAACTGCATAAACTAAATTGTAGCTCATGAGATTGAAAAATATGTTTTAAAGTAAGATGTCTAGTAAGAATAGTTTAAGCAATTCGGATGATTCAAGCCATTCAAACAGTTCAAAAATAGTTTAAGACCAATTCAGAGTAATTTAGCTAATCAAAACTATTATGAAGTTAAATTCGTTCCAACAATCATGTATTTTGTCTATCCCTACCATTGTCCACTCCCTTTCTTTTACATAAGCAAAATCCTAAAATGTGCATTTCAGCTTTATATTTTATTTATAATTTTCCATAAATATAACATTTCACATTTTCCATGCGAGAAAAGTAAAATTTCTCAAAAGAGGGCTGAAGCCCTTCACTAGTAGTATCATACCGCACAAGAAACTCTAAGGCAAACTGAGCGCGGCTTCGAGCTAAGAGAAACATTCCTCCTCCCATAGCTTGAAATTGAGCTAGACCTTGTGCTAGCATTTGAATTAAATGCCTGATCAATAAGCATTCAAAGAAACTTCATTAAAGAACAACTATATAAAAAAGAAACAGGAACTAGACACCAATGCTGTTTTTCTAAGTAATAGAGAAATTATGAACTATTACAGAAAATAATTGCAGTTGTTAACACGTGAAATGCAGGAAAATAAAATGGAAAAACATTTTACATATTCTGATCTAGGATTTTCAGCTTCAATTTAAATATTCACTAACAAAATTGGGGAAAGAGGCATAATGCAGCTTTGCAAGTAAATTAAATTAAAGATGATCACAAAATACGATGTTCGAATTCATGTCCTTAAAACATAACAAATGCTACAAGCACTAAACATTTGCTTAGTTAGGCTTTATCGTTCAATGGATGAAAATTTCATGTGTACAGATTTTCCAAACGGCAAAACAACACAAAAGTCAATCATGAAATCAACCAGAATATTTTCACAAACACACGTTCTATGCAAATACGTAGTAGGAGTAATTATAAGGTGAGGTTTTTTGCCGATTATATATTACAATTTAGCACTACGTTGTGATCTCCAACATATTCCATGCAACATATTTGACAAAAAAGTGAAAATAGTAAAAAATATCAATCAACGAAAGATCATCATGTGTTCTCCATCGTAAAACGCGATTTCTAGAAAGGAAATTATGCAGCAGAAGTGGAATATATAATTTAAAGAAAACTTGTACGTAAAAATAACAGTGAAAAAGAAACAAATAAACAGAGAATTCAAAGATTTCATACCCGACAGTCATAACAAAAAGAAGAGCAAAGCGCAGAATAATAGTTACAATTAAAAGCTTCAAAGCGCAAACGAAACAAAACGAGCAAAAGGAAAAAAAACTAAAACGATACCAATCTCTGATTGAGCTGGGGACAGAGAGAGCATGCAGAAAGTGATTCTACGTTGAACGTGTTGGTCGCCATGGAGGTCGGTGCGACGATGCAAAGAAAATCGAAAGAAAATTGAGAAGGTGGCGAAGAATGTGTGAATAGTGAAGTGAAGAGAGCGTTAAAGAAAGAATAAATAGCTCCTTTGCCTTCGGTTCCATCTTAGATTCTTGGACTCACTATTCGCTCTCTCTCTTCCAACGAGCTCAGGAAATAGTCGTCGTCTCTGATTTGGTCATGCTTGAGCCCAAACTAGTTGGGCCAGAATAAATGTTTGGAGCCTAAATTCAGCCATGAAAAAAAGCACGGTTGTTTGTTCCTGCACCCAATACTTTCTTTCTCCATTTTCATATTTATCTAAAATATAATATTATTTATAATATAAATATATTCTGAAAAGCTTATTCTAAAAATATTCTCGGATTTTATTATATATATATATATATTAAGAGAACTAATTCTATAACATTTTTGAAAAAATTTCTAAAATACATTTTCATAAAACAAAACTGTGAAATTAATTTTGGATTGTGTTTCTTGAAAGGTATATTTGAATTGTATTTTTTGAAAATGTATTTTACATTCAAGAATCTAAAATTTATTTTCTGGATTCTGTGTTTTATAAAGAATATATTTTTAAAAAAATATAATCCGAAAATATATTATAAATCAATCATAACTCATTTTTGGATTATATTTTTAATAAATATATCATGACTATAAATATAAATTAAGTATTTTTTTATAAACAAAATATTAAAAATATAAATTATAACAATTTTTTAACCTTAAATTAAAACTATGTCTAATTAAAGATGCATAAGGTACCAATATTGATATGCGGCAGAGGAAATTAACCTTAAAACACATTTTTTATATTTTATATATTGTGAAAATTTATTGGAATATAAAAAAAAACACTAGTTAGTATAATTTAGGGTGTTTGTCTGTGAAATTGGTGTGTTTTCTTTATCATCATTTAATGTGACCGATAAAGGTATAGCAAGTGGCCTTGTCTACCATTTATGTACTTTGAGTTTGGACGTGGTTTGTGTATATAGTGATAGTGTACATTTTTTTCCTTGTAGGAGGTGGGTAGGTTTGAGAAAAGTGTGGTGGTAGCTTTAAAGAATATAAAGAGAGGTGAAAAGTGATTTTCATCGTAGTCCATTCATTTTTGGCCATCTTAAGTCATTTTCAGGTTCAGGTTTCTCAGATCATCATTCCACTGCCTTCATTGTTGCCATTTTAAAATTAATGTAAAAAACTGGTGTACTGATTGCATCTAGATGTTAACTCCTCCCCTGTCCAAGTGTGAGCCAGATTTTGATTGGGGAAGGAACTGCAACACACTCATTTAATATTCAAGATAAGGACTTCTTAATTACATGCAATATTAGTTTGGTTGGATGTTTACTTCACACATAGTATTTTTATATATATAAAAAAAAAAGTAATTTAAGATGGTTGGTTGAAGTAACCTTTTCCAAAAGGTACACCAATTAATGTACTTCAATATTTTTAGAAGTTAGATAAATAGAACTTTTATTCAAGTTAGATGTATAAGTTTATTTTATTTCCCATAAAGAAAAGGTGAACCTTAATTTCTAACTTTTATAACATACTGGCATCTTTTTATTGAACCAAATAGTTGGATGAAAATTAGGATAGCAATTAAACCCCTCCTCTCGAGTTTGACGGGAAAAATCTGAGTTGATCGGGGATGGGGTGGGTTTGGGTTTTCCCCGCTTTAAAAAATCGGGGTGGGGACGGAGATGGGTAATGCAATCCCCACCCGACCACGTCCCCGTCTCGCCTCGACTTTATATTTAAATTTAAATTTTAAAATATTATTATTTTAAAAGTATTTCCTTTTCTTTTTCTATTACATATAATGTCATTTTTTTATATTTCACCAAAATTTTTTTCTTCTACCCACTTTTTAATTTTTTTGTCTTTTTTAATCTTTTATATCAATTAATTTATTACATTATTCTTTCTCTTACCTTTCAGTTTTTCACATCTCCTTAATCTCTCTCATCAATTTGTTTTTTTTTCAATCTTTTCAACCAATTTGATGAACACAAAGTTAATTTTTTTTATTCTTTATCTTTTTCTAAATATTTTACATAAATATTAGTAGTAACTAATATTATTTTATTTATAATTTATATTTATTAGGTTTTATTATGTCATATTTTTTTATCTTATTATTCTTATTTATCATGTATCAAATTTTATCTTAATAAAATAATTGTATTTTAAAGGATTAAAGGAATTGATAATTTAAATTTTTATTACTTCGAACTAATTGAATAAGAATTAACTTATTAAATATTTCCTTATAAACTATATATTTCATATTTTTAAATGACAACTTAAAAATGAATTAACTTATATATATAATCAAATGTTTGAATACAGTATTATAATAATAGTGTTATAAATATTCAAATATTTGAATACAGTATTATAATAATAATAATATTATAAATAAAAAATGATTAAATATTTCTTTTACATACATATTTTAATATAAATATAATAAATTAAAATATATATTTAATTAATAATAATTATAAATTATAAATATTTATTTATATATAAAAAATAGATAGTAAAATTAATTTATTATAAATGTAATTATCTTTTTAAAAATAATATAAATCGGGGACGAGGCGAGGCGAGAACCCGAAACCCAACGAGGACGGGGACGATGACTTAATTTCTAACCCGACGGGAATCGGAGGACGATGACGAAGATGGTTAAAAAGTGGGGACGGAGGTCGGGAGACAAAACCCGCCCCGCCGGCTCGTTGCCATGTCTAGTGAAAATGAATTAGGTACTTTATCACTGGCTCAATTATATAAATTACTTTTTAAGCGAGAAAAGTATATATATATAGAGTTAAGTAGTATATATTTTGCATAAAAGTTAATTAAATTTCACATATGTTTACTGAAAATATTAGTCTTAACAAATTATCAAATTTAATACACAGTTTTATATCATGAATTTTACAACTAACACATTATATTTGTGATTTAAACTAATTTTAATAACTATAAAATACATTTTATTTTATATTTTTTTAGTGAGATGGATTCGTTACCCTTTGTCAAATTTAAGAGATTAATATATAAAAATTCTCACTAATGAATGAGGAATAACTTAAACAGATTTTTACTAGGAAAATATGAATTAATCATATATGTATTATTTTAAAAATCGAATCAACCGGTTTAACGAAATCGGAAATCCAACTAAAAATCGGTACATTCCTTCCTAATAATTATATATTAATTAAATAAAAATGAAATTGGTAGAACTGAAAAAATTAATTTGAATTTTAATGAAATCAATTTTGATAAAAAAAATATGATCAATTTTTTTAATATAATTGTTTATAAAAAATATAATATATTTTATTTTTCTTAATTCATATTTTATTTCCATCAATTTTAAATAATATTTTTTCTCTTTTAATAGTTATTTATCATTTAGTTTTTAATGTATTTTATATTTATATTTTTTTATTATAATTTATAATAACTATCACAATAATGTTTATTATTTTTTTTATATAAAAATATTATTATTAATAAACTTATTGTATATTATTATATTATACAAATATTATTTTATTAAATCTAGTTTATTTTTTAATTTTAAACTTATATATTAATCGATTCAATAATTAGTTAAATTTTAAAAACCATACAAATACGTTGAACCTAAAACTTTAAAAAATTAATATTTATAAATTATTCAACTTTTATATTTGTATTCAATATAAAATTTTAATATATACTTAAATTTTTAACAAAAATCATAATATTATAAAAACCCAATAGATTATTTTTTTTATTAAAAAATTATAATAAATTTAAGTCATATTTTTTTCTGATTTATTTTAAGTCTAATTACTAGTTATGTATATATTTTCATAAAAAAATTAATAAAAAAATCTCATGAAATGTGTGGATATTAGTTTATTTAAAATATTGAGAATGGAAAAAATTAGAATCAGCGTAGTAGCTTCAAATTAGCATAAGATTTTAATTGACTAATTATAATTAGTGAAAAGTTAAATATGAAGATAAGAAAATGAGAGATTTAATGAAACAAAAGTTTAAAAATTGAATATATTAAATATTTATGTGAACGGACACACGATCGACGTGTTTGGTAAGTCATGGAATCAACCAATATATTATATCAGATGGATGACTCTGTGAAGTCATAGAACCGACCAATATATTATCTGTGGTATATTATTAAAATAATAATTTGTTCATCGCGAATTAATTATAAAATACGCCATTAAATATAAAATCATCAAGTAATAAAATAATCTAACTAATAATCCACACACAAAAAAGTCAATTCGCATATCAGAATGACTTGAGTAGTAAGAAGTTACAAATAATCTTATAAATACAAAACTAAGCCTAAAAGAGGAAGATTTTGAGTGGGAAATTCTTAAAATTTATCCTACGACTTTTTTCTAGAACAGCTTATATTATATATTTTCGGAACCTTAATTACACAAAGAAAAATTATCATATATTGTTTTATCTCTTTTTATCTTTTCTCAATTTTATAAAAATTTCGTAATTTTCTATAATACGAGGAGAGTAGTCGAAATCAAATCGAGAGCGTCTAGAAAGAGGTCAACATTGAACAAAGACAAATTCTTATGTCCTCTTGAGGCCGAAAGAAAGCTGAGAAAAAGTTACTCTGATTTGGGCTTTTGTGAAAGTGTCACATGAAGGATTACCCACGCACGTGACCGAATAATAAGAAAAATCATCAGCCACAAATTTGGTATTCTACTTTAGAATTTTGATTTTTAAATGCTGACTTTGTTCTCCAGGGTTAAATAAGATAATCTTTATCATGAAATTATACATAATTAGTTACCTTTATTTTTTTCTTTTTTCACAGATAGTTTTTTTAATATATTAGATAAAGATTATTTTAATCTTACTAAATATTTTGATTCATCCAAAATGAAAAAGAAAAAGAAAAAGAAATAGATTATGGATATGAATAATAAAGTCTTCCAATGAAATCTTGTAGTTTACTTTAATAAATGGCATGGTAAAAATGATTCAAGTAAACACTTATTTACGTTAAGTTTTAATATGACCAAATCTTATTTAATAAGTTTTGATTTGATTATTTATAAAACATTATTTACTACAATATTAATTGTCATTTTTTATCTGTATTGTACAAAAATCACGTTTCTCTTAATTTTTAATTTCCGTTAATTTTGGTTCTTCGGTTTTTTTATTTAATGTATTTTTTATATCTCAGTTTTTAATTAACTGTGATTTTATTAAATTTTAAATTTTATTATCTGTATATATTTGGATATGTATAATAATATTGAGTAAAAAAATATATTTATTTATGTTTCTCTCATTATTTTGATAGTAATTGAATTTAAAAATTAAAATTTATTTTTTCTAAAATAATTAAAAATTAAGGATTAAAATCATGTAAAAAAATTTAGAAAGAAAAACTGTGGATGATTAGAAATTAGGAGACTAATATTGTGAAAACAAAATTTTAGATTTTATAAAATGTAAAGACAAAACTTGCAAAAGTAAAATATTAGGTACTATAAAAATAAAAAAAAGTATTAATTTATATATCTCTTATTTATCTTAACTGCGTCACCCATTCCCTAGACACTAAGATAATAATATTATTAACCTTAAATCTAAAGAACGAAGCAAAAGGATAAAATATATAAACCTAATGTTTAAAAGAAAAAATAACAATTCATATTCTACTTGAAACTCACTGATAAAGAAACGATATTTCACCAAACAATTTTTAAGATGAAAAAATATATTTTTTATTTATTTTATAATATTTCTTCAAAATGTTGATTCATTTGAGTTTTTTCGTACATGACAAAGTAGATGTTATTCTGCAATTACACGTTGAAGATTGTCTATATGAGAATATATATTATATTTAAACTTTGATATATTAAACTATTTACCAAACACTACCAAAAATCTCATTATAAAAATGAAGTACTGGGATTGAATTATATAATAATAATAATAAATCAAAACATGGGAGGGATAACATCTTTGAAAGTTCTAACGCTGCTACATTTACACAAGCCTTGACATAGCCACTACTTATGCACCGTCCTTAACGTTGATTGACGGAGAATAAAGATAATGAAAAGGTGCATTCCGTTTCATTTTCAATTCTTAATTATTGAACCGGCTTTCATGGAATAGGAACCGTAAGAGACAGAAACCTAGCTTAGTTAAAGAACCAACAACAATGTTTACTAACCAGTCAACCACATAAGTAAATTTATAAGCTTTTTCCTTTAAAAAAAATCATAATCCTATATATAAAAAATAAAGAAATATTTTGAGTAAATTATAAAATATAATATTAATAATGTGTTTAATATCATATATATTTTATAAACAGGTTGAGCCGAGCCATGACAGTGAAAAAAGGCTTCGTGTGGGTAAAAGGTCAGTACAGTCAGCGTCTTCCATAGAAGGCACTTTCTCTTTGGATGCTACGTGCTCTTCACTTGAAAAAGGCATCAAATAATAATTAAAAAAAAATCACAATATTTGAACAAAAATCATTTTCTTTTTCTTCATCTCAGTAACAGAGACATTAATCGATTTGTCCTTCTGCTCCACTCTCTCCCTTTCGAAGAAGATCACGATTCACACGCTTGTTCCCATTCAATGCTTCCACTTTTATCATCCCATCACAACCTTGCATGAAAGAAAAAGAAAAAAATTCTACCTCCATATTTAACACTTCTCTCACCTCTCTCCGTGCCGGTTGTTTAAAAGCTGCCATTTTTTCTGTTTCTGTAGTTTCGAAAACCAATTCACTAGCACTTGTATTATTGTCGCGTGGTGCTACTGTTATGTTGTTGTTATAGCTGGACTGTAGGACTTTGTGTGTTTAATATTTTCACCTTTTTCCCCATTTTCCATTGCGAGTTCAGTTGAGTTAACTCGTTGATCTGCTACCACTTGACTCGTTACCCTCTTCTTCACTGTCTTTTGCGTCGAATCGAGGAACTTCACTGAAACACTGCCGTTTTAGGTGTCGATCTCGGCTTCGGTCACCGTCTCGGGGACAATCATGAGTAGGACGCCGATTCTTGAAATTGAACCCAAGGAACTGAAATTTCTATGTGAGTGCTTTTTTCAAATTATTCTGGTATTTTGTATGACCATGCATGCTGATGCTGTTGAATCTAGTATCACTTGTGTGTTTGTGTGATGGGTTGATTAATATGCCGTGATTTTTTTCCCTTCCCTTTGTAGTTGAATTGAAGAAGCAAAGTTCTTGTACCGTTCGGTTGACCAATAACACCTTCGACTATGTGGCGTTCAAGGTCCGAGCTCCTTCTTTTATATCTGTTACTTGCTGTTAGGCACAGGACTGACTGGAGAGATTAATCATTTTGGTGTCGTTGATGTTCTCAGGTCAAAACTACGTCGCCTAAGAAATATTCAGTGCGCCCAAATGTTGGAGTTCTCGAGCCCAAAGCTACTTGTGAATTCATAGGTATATCTTCGGATTGTGTGTGTTTGTTTGGTATCTTTCCTTTTTGAGGCACTTGACTTGTTTTTCAGACATTGGTATTTTTCAGTTAAAAATTCAAACACTTGTTATTTTTTAGCATAACTTTGATCATTATGGTGGATTATTTTGGGATAGACAACAAATGGCCCCAATTTGGCAGGACACAGTTTTCTTGACTACTTATGTTGTTTTTCAATTTTAAATTGCTGTAATTGCAGCCAGCAGTTTTTTAGTGAAATGATTTTTTTAAAAGAATATCAGTTTTCTCAAAAGACGAAGATAAATCAACACATGAAATTTAATTTTTGCATTTTAATTTCTGTCCCCTTCCCCTCCCAAATTCAATTTTTGTTGCATCTATTTGTCATCAAACAGTTACAATGCAAGCCCAGCGGGAAGTACCTGAAGATATGGTGTGCAAGGACAAGTTCTTAATCCAAAGCGCAGTGGTTCCTGCTGAAACAACCAGTGATGAGGTTACTTCCAACCTGGTATGGATATTTAATTGGGTGTGATTTTGTACTCTCATAGATTTTCTATTAATTTCTATATTTTGACTTATTATTTGGAAATGGTAGTTTGTTAAAGATGGAAGTAAATATATAGAAGAAAACAAGATGAAGGTGACCCTGATCAGCCCACCGAATTCACCCCATCTCTCTCCTATTAATGGAGACTTCAAGAATGGTCTTGAGCATGGAAAGGTTCAGATATATAGTAAAGATGAAATCCAGTCCCCAGAGCCCATGGTCAGAGGAAGCTTCAGTAACACTTGTCCCTAAATTATTGTCTTTCCTCTACTTTGTTTTCAAGATATTTCAAATCCATGAGAAAAGATAATTGGATTTCTTAAGCTAGATATTTTAAGGGTTTTGTTGGTTTTTTATTTCTGGACTATTATTTTCATAATTTTAAAGGTGCATTGTTATAGAGTTGCATAATATCTTCATTTTTCATACTTTTTTTTAATTTTCTGAGATTTGTCATCTCTGCTGTTTTTGGTAGTCTTTGCGGATGTGTAGATGATCAATTTTACAATTTCAGTTCATAATTGTTGATATAAGCCATTCAAATGTTTTGTTCTGTTCCTTGTATATGTAAGGTTCTTAAAAATCCAGACATGGGTCATGAGGTATTAAAGCTAGAAGAGGATATGGAATTGAGGCCAGATTATTATATGGGGTTGGACACTATGAAGGATGTAGAGGAGCCAAATGAAGAAACACCGCTAAAGGTGTCAAAAGATAAGGAGTTGAACATGGTTAAGGATGTAGAAGAACTGAAACCACACAAAAATTTAGAGGTAGAAGTGTCAAAAGATGTGGATTTGAGCAATGTAAAGAATGCAGAGGAGCAGAAACCAGAAAAAGCAACAGAGTTGAAAGTGTCTAAAGTTCTGGATTTGGACAAAGTGAAGAACGAAGAGGAGCTGAAACCAGAGAAAGAAGCAGGGTTGAAAGTGTCAGAAATTCATAATTTGAACCCAGTAAATACTGTAAAGGAACTGAAGCCAGGAACAGAGTTAAAAATGTCAATGGATCACGAGTTGAAAGAGGAACTGAAGCCAGAAAAAGGAAGAGAGTTAAAATTGTCAGAAGATATGGAGTTGAAAACATTAAAAAATGTTGAGGAACTAAAGCCAGAAAAAGAAACGGAGTTAAGAGTTTCAAAGAGTATAGAGGAGCTCAAGTTAATGAAAGCAATTGAAGAGATGAAATTAAAGCTCGATGGACTTGAGTCAAAACTAAATGAGGTTAGGCATGCCACCATTATTTACTCCTTGAAACTTTTTATCTGCTTGACATGCTTCCTAGCAAGTTGTACGTTGAAGCAAACTTGCTTTATAAATATTTACCTATGACCGGATAGAGTTTGATTATTTTTATGCCTTGTCTTGCCTTTGGGCTTATGTTTTCATTGGAGAGGATTGAAGCATAAATTATTCTTTAGGCCTTTTTCAGCTTACTGTAATACTTATTAGCATACTTGTTATGTACATTACTTTTCCCCTTCCTTTCATTTGATTGATTTGAGATCCACTACATCGTGTTTAACAAAATATAAGGAGACAGCCAGGGCTGCTCTTTCAACGTCTTCTTTAATATACAAGGGTGTAATTTGTGGCACTAGGCCTATAACTGTATTAACAGACTTTTTACATCCTTTTAGACTTGATCAGTTGACATTTCCATACACTTAATTCTATGAAAATGAATGGATCCTATGGGTTTTCCTCATTAAATATGCTAGCTGAACTGATTTAACTGAAATGATGATAATAATTTCATATTTTTCTCTGCAGTCTGGAATTACAATATCAAAGTTAACAGAGGAGAGGAGGCTCAGCAATCAAGAGACAAAAATCTTGCAAGAAAAACTAGTAAGCTTGAGAATCACTGTCTAGTTTTGCTAGTATTGCTTTTTGTGGCTATATATGCGTTAGTTCCTGCGTACTTTGAGAAAACTGGAGTGGAGGCGTGAACTGTTGAGAAAGTATTAATCAGTATTGTAAATTAGATTGCGAATTTCACCTTTGTTTGTTGTGGATCAGTATAGATGTTGTCTGTTGTTTTACAATTATTCCCCATATCTATGCATGAACTTGTGCAATTTTGTTCCGTTTTTTCTTTTAGGGTCAGTAGATTTCATTTCTTAAATGGTGGGTTTATTCTTTTTGCAGACAGATCTTATTAATAAAGGTCCAAGAAAAGTTCAAGTCGGATTCCCACTTCTATATGTCTGTATGGTGGCGCTTATCTGTGTCTTCTTGGGATACCGCTTACACTCGTAATAGTTGGCTTATTAATCATCTACAGGAAGCTGCTAACATTTTGAATTTCCACGAATTTTTAGTAGCAGAAGTTTAGGCATAAATCCACCTTATAAATGTAATAGTAGGGGATATGTATACTTGACGGTCAGTGATATTCGATCTGATCTGTGTAGTCTATAATTATGTACGTCTCCCATTTGTATATGCAAAGTTACCCAGGTGTACAAGTACAAATAATGAGATATATGGCTGTCTGGTTGATGACTTCTCTAGACGTTGATCGATGTTTCTCTCGGTGGTGGTGGCAAGTGGCCTGAGTCAATACCAGAAGTGATAGAGCATCCTGTTGGAATGTTAAAATTATTAGCAATAGCCTTGTTTAAGGTGAATACTTTAAATCCAAACAAGTTTGTTTATCCTCCTAATACCATATTTGAGTTCATATCATACTCCCAAATGTGCACATATATATGCTTGAATGTCTACTACGTAAATGATGATAACCCCACCAACCATTCTTTCATTTCCCAGTTGCCTTTTTTCTATACTCTATAATTCATACATTATGTTTGCGAAGAACATTGCGCAAATTCTGGATTCATTTTGCGTACGTGTTTGTGTATTGATGTTATAGCCCATGACTTGTACAATTGCATTGGATGTGTGAAAATCACAGAACTAGAAAAATATTTCATCTGTGGAGAAGCTTGCTGCTATTCAACCTTCAGGGGCAGATATAGTCAAGTTGCAACAACTACCTTATTAACATATCAATAGCAATATATATATATATATATATATATATATATATATATATATATATATATATATATATATATATATATATATATATATATATTGATTTCTGTTTATCAATTAACATAAATTAATGCATCTTTTAAATTTTATATTCTAATAACCTTTTTATTATCATATTTGTTTTGACTGGTATATTTAAAAAAAGGTGACAATCTTCTCCTTGATAGACAGAAAAAACTTAAATAAACAATAACATAAAACAATTCAAATCCAGTGTAATCTAAAACGTATTAAAAGAAAAATATCTACTGGCCCATCAAAATTCAATACTTTTTTTATAATATTAAATATATTTATTCCGATTAAAAATTGGTCATTTTATAAAATAAAATAAAAAATTGAGTTTGTCTAAGCATGTCACAACTCATGTTTTTATTTTATTTTTTAACTATAGTTTCATCGTTCCTATCTACGTATCTTAATAAAAAAGATATAATTGTCCATTAATACTATTTCTGCCCCTTTTAAGGTAAAACTACCTATCCATATTTCTATCGAACTTTATTTATGGAATAAATTGTCTTGTCAATAAAAAAAATATACTTTAATTAAAATATTTATTTATTTATCTCTTTAACACAAATGTATTTTTGTTGGGAAACACGTTTTAAGAAAGAGAAGTAAGAAAGGTAAATAAAAAAAAATGCTTTTTTTTAGCAGTTCTAGCCTAAACATTTTTATTTTTTTATTTCCTAATTCTGCATTATGGAAATAATACATCAAAATAGAAATTGAGAAGTTGATGATCATATAATTGCCAATAATACACAATAATCTATTTTTAAAAACGACAACGACGAAGACTTGAAATTGACAAGATTATTACGTGGACTGTGTTCTGTAATTGAAAAAATGGAAAGGATAGTGTTTCATACAGTGTCAATAAGACCTAGATGAGAAGTTGGATCGAAACTGGGCTTAGGCCCACCAAAGCCCATGATGTATATTAAAAAACAATATTATAGTTCAACTGGTTTTAATGTCCCACCACCTTAGCTTGCATCATGCTAGTAACGTTACATATTTTTTTTCAATAATATAAAAGCAAATAATTAAAGTAAGCATTGCGTTAAAATATATACATCTAAAATTTATTTTTTTATATTAAATCCGTTTGTTTTTTTTATTGACATATTTTAAATATATACATATAAAAATAGATTGTTTCTTTATTTGTTTATATATGTAGATATTTGGAACCACTCTATATTTTACATGTTTATTAAATGATTAGTGGATAAATAGAATGGAAAATGTAATATGTATATGTTTTTATATTTTAATTGAGTTGATCTTGTGGATTACGATTTTCAATTTATTTATATTTGTTCTCTCTGCAATGAGATATTAGTTTTTTTTACCAAATCATTATTATTTAATATCAATGATTAATATATTTCATGCAGTATATTTATTATTACTATTTTAACAATGATTTAATCATCATTATATCAATGAATTATGAGCTGGTATTTTCATGATTTAAATAACTATTTAATTTTAAATTAACTTAACTGAATTTAAATAGGCATATTAAAAGTTTTTTTCTATTTTTTTTATTGAGATATAGAAAGGAAAGTTTAAGAAGAACACCAAAGCAAATTCTTGCGATATCATATACCATTTATAAAATCATATCCACGTTATTATAGTTTGAATTTGTCTTTGGAACACGTGAACTTGATTTTTACGTATTAATTTATTGATTATTCACCCCCTTTAATTGTTTTTTAATATTGATTATTTATTTATCAAATACTTATACGCTAAAAAGCAACTAAAAAAAATATTGGTTATGTGACAAAAAATACAACTTTCATATAATAAACATATGTATGAATCATTAATTTTACAAATTAAATAACAACATGAATATTATTTCACTAAAATCTCTTTTTTCTTTAAAAAATATAATTTGAAAATCTAATTAAATATTTACATTTCACACATTTTATATACCATATTTATTAAATTAAAAAGTTAAATAGTATTTGTTTTATTTTACATTTTACTTTTATTCCATTTCATCTCGTTATTAATTTTGTACCAACATGATCTTTTTATACCAACATATTTTTTTTAAATTAAATCAAATTTTCATCAATTTTGTTAAGTGGCTTAATTAAAAAAATAAAAAATAAAATCATGTAACATTTACACTACTATAAATACTAAGGATGTCACTATTATAGATTATATGTGAATGTTGATATATAATTACATAATTTCTAATAAATATGATGGCATTAATATTACCTGTCAATTTATATTAAATAATTTAATTTAATTAGTACAAAAATTATGTTTTTTTATTTAGGAAAAACAAATTAATACTAAAACACAAGAAAAAAATAGTGAAAAAAAACACTTGTTTAACTAATCAAAAATATATATTTTGTAATGTACCGCGAAAATTCCCTCTTGGCGTTTTCAGCTTCCCTCTCGTTTTGCTTCCCACTCCCGCTGAAGTGTCCTCTTTTTTCTCTATCTATCGTTTTGATGTAGGGTTTACATTTCAGTTTCCTTTCCCATCCTGTTTATTTATTCGTTACAGAATCAACAACTTCCAAAACGAACCATTGTCGTGTTCACCATGTGAAAATCAATCCCACGCTTCCTCGATGTTGATTAATGTTTAGTATTCCAAACCAGGTACCATTTTTATCTAACTCTTATCTGCCCAGTTTTCTATTTCATAATCGACCCATCGCGCGCATGATTCACACATTTACTATGTTTTGTTTAAGCATGAAATGTCGGTAGGAATGTTTAATATCATCGTGTTGTTAGGTTTGTTTGGGTCAACGAGGTGAAAGGCAAAATTACACAAATTGTACTTTATAGGTTTTACAGTTTGATTTTAGAGAAATTTGGGCGGTTGAATTTTGATTTGAATTCTGCGATGGACTGCAACAAGGATGAGGCTTTGAGGGCTTGGAAAATTGCTGAGGCTAGAATGCAAAGAGGTGAATTTTTAGAGGCTCTCAAGTTTGCTTCCAAGGCCAAAAACCTGTATGCTGATGTGGGAAACATTAGCCATGTTCTTACTATTTGTGAGGTTCACAATGCTGCACAGAAACAACTTTCTCCCTCTGACATGGACTGGTATGCGATTCTTCAGATAGAAAGATTGGCGGATGAAACAGCCATAAAGAAACAGTACAAGAGGCTTGCACTCCTACTTCATCCTGATAAGAATAAGTTTGCTGGAGCCGAAGCTGCTTTCAAATTGATTGTGCAAGCCAACGGGGTTTTGAGTGACCAAGCAAAACGTTCTTTGTATGACAAGAAGTTTGCAGTCCCTGTGAGAGGTTCTGTGCCGAAATCCACCCATTCCAAGAAAAAAGTTGGACAGAAGACATTCTGGACATGTTGCCAACATTGTAAAACTAAGCACCAGTATTGCATGCCATTTGGGAATGCAACCATACGCTGTAAGCAATGTTTGAAGACCTTTAAAGCTCGTGCTATTCCTTTGGAAAATACCCAGAAAGAGTCTCCAATGCATGGTCCCCCAAGACCAGAGAGTACTGGTGGAAAATCCCCTGGTGGAGGAGAACATGCTAGTACGTTTGTGAGGCCAAATCCTATGCATATGAAAAAATGTTCTTCTGGCGTGGGTGGTCATTCTGAAGGTGAAGGTGAAAAGTGTAAAGATGGCTATGTTTCTGCATCCACAGGTATGGAGTCACAAACCTCTAAAAATGTTGGAGGTAAAAGAGTTAGGCAGTCAGCACCAGATTTGAGAGAAAGTTTCAAAGCTGATAAATGTGATGAAATGAAAGATGCTTATGTTCGGGAAAATGATCTTGATCCTTCAAGACTTGATACAGGTAGGTATTGTAAACAAAAGCAACATGTTTAATGCGTGGAAACATCTGAAGCTGACGATTATGAAAACTTTTATTTTTATAATTACTGCTGGATGTTCATATTTCTATTACGTCAACGATATTGTTCTAATTTTAATACATCATTCTCATAGTTCAGTAAACAATAAGAAAATATCTTTGCTAAACTGCAACCTTATTTGACATTTATATTGCCAAGTGCAATTTCCTTTCGAATTCTGGGCAAAATGAGTCACTATGTGAAACATGTAAGGGATAAAGAAAACAAAATCATTTGACATGCATATTGTGAAGTTCAATTTCCTTTCTAATTCTCGTCAAAATGTTTCACTGTGCGAGAAAACAAAATCAAACATGGAACAACAGTCATGTTAAAAGAGAATTCTAAATCTTTGATTTGAACTTCCCCACATTTATTATTTGAATGTTCCGAACTTTGGTCTATAGAAGTATATAAATAGACATAATCACTCTTTGTAAAAATACTTTTTAAAAATAAAATTATTTTGTTGAGAATGATTTTGATTTTTTAAAGTCTTATCTCATTTTAGTATCTTAAAATTAAGTGATAAATTGAAGATAAAGATCTTTTAATGATATGGATCTTCTCCTATGTTCAAGTTTATTTTTGTTTTTTATTTCTAATTATATTTTATTTATCTGTTCTTGTTTAGTTCTTTATTTCACATCAATTGATTCATTCAGTGATCATGTTTGTTATAATGTTTCTCCCATGTTGTCTAGTTTCTCTTTTTGTTTTTAATCATATTATATTCTTACATTGTTTTAAGTCACTCATTAATTCATTTTATAAATTTTGATAAGTGATGAGATTTCAATATAAATTTTGACAAGTGATGAGATTCCAATTAAAAAAATTGTGATAGTTTAAAAAAAAATTTAAAAATTATATAAACTTTTTTTATTGAATAAATAAACAACTTTTTTTTAAAGATAACAAAAATTACATTTTATTACATAATAATAACAAAAAATAAATTAGTTGGATAATAATTTCAAATTTTAATACATAATTGAAAAGGAAAGCTTAGTGTTTGATAAATTTCTTTTACAAATAAAATCATGTAAAATTAAAAGAAAATATTAAGATGCGCACAACTTAATCTTAGTGAGACTTATTATTTATATTATTTTTTATTTAAATTATAAGAGGATAATTTATTATATATAGTCAATTCATATTCACAAGTACTTTTCAATCATTTATATTTGTATATATGCATATAATAAGTCATTATAGACTCACAACTCAACCACAATCACAATTGATATTTTATGATTTCTAAAAAACTATACATTTATTAGAAATTCATATCACTCTCATTTCAGTTTCATTAATCCATAAAACAGGGACATTTAAAAATTTTCACATACTCTTGTGTCACAAGATATGTTCCAAAAAAAATTCGTGGCTTAAATAGTCAATCTAGTGAAAAAACTTTATAATATAACTTTTTTTTTTTGCTTTGTTGCATTTTTATTTAAACGACCAACAATTATGAGTGAATTATATTGAAGATAACATGATGTAAAAAAATTTCAACTCATGCCAATATTATCTAAACCAACTTTAAATAATCTAATGATTTAAAATAAGTATTTTTACTTTGAAAAGACAAATAAGTACACATTATAACAATTAGTATTTGTTTAAAACAAGTAATCAACATCTTTAAATTTAATAAAACACTCAAAATCTCAATTTAAATTAATCAAGAATTCACAATTTTCTCAGGTCAAATATTATAATAAAGTATCATTTTAAAGTAAGAAAATTTTGAATTTTTTCCTCTTACCCTTCTAAGTTAGTTTCTTTCAAACAAAATTTAAAAATTTATCAAAATCTTTAGGAAATGTAATCTCACTTATAAAATATTATTAATAACAAATAAAACTTATATTCACAATCCTAAACTATCAGAAATTCATCTTTGCTCCCATGCATAGGTTAGGGAATAGCATACATGCAAACCATCCTTATTCACTAAAAAGGAAAAAAAAAATCTCAGAACAACATTTTATCAAAAGCTTTAGTTTTTGTTAGGAGTGATAAAGTAAATTTAAATATAGGAAAAAAAAATGAGAGAAAAAAAGTAAAAGAATTTTAATTGTATAAAAATGATGATCGCACATAAATAAATATTAAAAAATTTTAACATTTTTATTTATAATATATTATTTATTTAATTTAACCCGCTCAATTATTACACTTACAATAAACTGAGCCTTCCAATTCAAGTAATTTTTTTGGAAATAAAATGTAAAATTACAAGAATACTATTATAATAAATTAATAATTTTTTTTACGAGTCACAAAACATTATTTTTTCTTAATTTTGTCTACCAAAATCTAAAATGTCACACGTTAAAAAACATAAAAGTTATAATTAATTTATAAATTTTCAAAATATTATATATTATTTTGTCTCATACTCATTGTAGTTGTAGTCATTGAGAAAAAAAATTAAACTGATTAATGTTTTTAGTTTTCAATAAATTACTTTTTTCGGTAATTTGTTCATAAATTAATTACTCTCTGTTTCAATAAAAAAACAACAACATACTATTTAAAATACATTTAAAATGAATTAATTCCGTGAATATAAATTAAGTTTATTTAATGCTATTTAATTTCATTAAATAAATAGTGTTATGGGACCTTTTTACTAAAATAATTAATAAAGTTGAATTAATTAGAATTTATATCAAACATAATTAATATAGTTATTTAAATACAGGAGTTTATTTATTTTTTTGTAAAATGTATTTATTATAGAATAAAGGTATTAAGTAGAACACGGAAAAGTAATAAATGTTATTAGATATAATATTGTACATTCTCCAACAAACCCTTTTTATTTGATTACAGAATTTTTTGGGAAAATAATTGCGCACCAAAACCCCATTTTCCCTCCAACTCTTTCAGCATTTTCCCCTTCCCTCCCTCGCGTTTTGAAATATTTTCTTCGACCTTCACTCCCGCTTTCAGGAGGCGCTCCCTCTTTTTCTTTATCTCTCTGATTCGCAGCGCTGCACTTCGATTCATTTTAGGGTTTTTCATTTCCGTTATCACAATCTCACTTCTTCTCTCGCTACGGAACCAACAGCTAAGGGTTCCGTTCCTCCAATTTCCACAACGAAGCATTGTTATGTTCAGATGCTTCTACCGTTTTGATTCGTGTTTACTAATTCCAAACCAGGTAGGTACCTGTTGTCTCAACTCTTAATTGTCTAATGCAGAATTTACATGATTCGTGCGTGCATGCATGATTCGTATATCTATTTGTTTTGCTTGAGAATTGCATGATGTACAAGTAGTTAGGTTTATTTTGTGTTGATAATATTTGCTGCTTGTGGATTGGGATTAGGTATAATTACAGAAATTGAGCTTTGTACAATTTAGTGTGGTTGGGTTTTGATTTGAATTCCTTCATGGAGTGCAACAAAGACGAGGCTGTGAGGGCTAGACAAATGGCCGAAGCTAGAATGCAAAGAGGTGAATTTGTGGAAGCGCTCAGGTTTGCTGCCAAGGCTAAAAAACTTTATGCTGATGTTGAAAATATTACTCAGATTCTTACCGTCTGCGAGGTTCACAATGCTGCGCATAAAAAACTCTCTGCCTCTGCTGACATGGACTGGTATGCGATACTTCAGATTGAAAAGTTGGCTGATGAAGCAGTCATAAAGAAACAGTACAGGAGGCTTGCATTGCTACTTCATCCTGATAAGAACAAGTTTGCTGGCGCAGAAGCTGCTTTCAAGTTGATTGGGCAAGCCAATGGAGTGCTGAGTGACCGAGCAAAACGTTCTTCGTTTGACAAGCAGTTTGGAATCTCTGCGAGAGGTGCTGCGCCGAAGGCCACTGCAAAAAAACATCAGAAGAGTTCTGAAACACACCATAATTCAGATGGAAATGTGTTTACTGCAAAATATGATGAAAATGCAACAAATTATCAGAATAAATCTTTTCCGAACCCCGATTGTTTCAACAACCAAGTTGGACTGATAACATTCTGGACATCTTGCGTACATTGTAATTCCAAGTACCAGTACTGCGTAAAATATGTGAATGCAAACTTATTGTGCCAACAGTGTTTGAAGCCATTTAAAGCTCATATTGTTAGTTTTGGACAAGTGGGTGTCTCATCGTCAATGTTTACTTCAGAAAATATCCAGAACGAAGCTCCAGTTCGTGGTCCCTCAAAACCAGATTCAAAAACCACTGGTGGAAAACCCCTAGGTAGAGAACGTACTGCCACGTTTGCGCGGTCAAATACTGCTTCCATGAAAAAATGTGCTGCTGGAGTTGATGCGCATTGTAAAGGTGAAAAGAGTAAAGATGGCTGTGTTCCTGTATTCAAAGGCATGGAGTCACAATCATATAAAAATGTTGGAAGTAAGAGAGTAAAGCAGTCAGCACCAGATTCAGGAGAAAGCTTCAAAGCTAGAACTGGTGATGAGATGAGAGATGCCAATGTCCGAGAAAACGATCTTGATCCTTCAAGAGTTAATGCTAGGAGATCTACAAGGAGAAAACAACATGTTTCATATGTGGAAACCTCTGAAGATGACGATCTCGAAATTCCTTCCAAAACGCCACGACCAAATGAACCGCTTAATGCCGATGACGTTGAGAATAAGAATGTTCCCGCAAGTAATGGATCATCCAATAGCGACAATCCAGCTACTTCAGCTGCTGGTGTGGCTGATCAGAACAGAGAGAAGGTATCCAAGTCAAAAGAGGAAAACTGCTCGCCAGTGAATTCAAATGTTCCTTCTGCTTCAAATATATTGCCTTGTTTTGACGCAGATTTCAATGATTTTGAAAAGGATAAGGAGGAGGATTGTTTTGCTGTTAAGCAAATGTGGGCAGTGTATGATAACTTCGATTCGATGCCAAGATTTTATGCTATTGTCAAGAAAGTGATTTCCCCTTTCGAGTTGCAGATTACTTGGTTGGAACCTGATCCAGACGACAAAGACGAGCTTGATTGGCATCATGCACATTTTCCTATTTCATGCGGTAAGTTCAGACTCGGTCGTTCTCAGAAAATTTCATGTCGTACTGCGTTCTCTCATCAGGTGCAATGCGTCAAAGAAACTGGCAAACGTTCTTACCTGGTATGCCCTAATAAAGGAGAAACTTGGGCAATTTTTAGAGATTGGGATATCAAATGGAGTTCTAATCCAAAAAAACGTTCCGAGTATGACTATGAATATGTGGAAATCCTTTCAGATTTTTCTAAAGATGTTGGCATCGCAGTTGCATATCTGCGCAAAGTGAAAGGATTTCTTAGCCTCTTACAGAAAACTGGGAAGAATGGAATGGACATATTTTATGTCGGGCCTAATGAGCTATATAGGTTCTCGCATCAAATTCCTTCGTATAAGATGACTGGTGATGAAAGGAAGGGTGTTCCAAGAGGATCTTTTGAATTTGATCCTGCTGCCCTGCCTACTAATTTCTTTGAAGCTGCTGATTGGGCTAAATTTCATCATGAATATCGGAAACATTGAGTAATGTTGCTTGAAAAGGTTACTCTATCCGTGTAAGTTGGTTAAGGGGACAATAAAAGAACGGTTAGTGGTCAAGAAACATAAAATGGTGCCGCTGCATGTTAGGCTAAGGAGGGGTTGAAAACACCGGAGGCATGAAGAAATTGAGGGACAGCTGATTGCCTCATTTTTGTGTTTGGTTTAATCTAGAAATGCTTTTCCCTGTATATCTCCTTCGTCAAACCTTTTTCTGATTTTGTCTGGGATGGCAGTTTCTTGATTTACCTTGTTAGCATGGGTAACCACCTCAGTACCCATGTTCATATCTGGCCCCTGGGTATCCTTGGAATCAAAATCAACTTTTAGATATGTTATTTGACTAAAAGGCTTTTATTTGATGGTGGTTCTTATAATTATAACTCTATATCCGTCCAAACTAAATATTCATGCTTGCCTCCAAAATGTCCTTTTTCTTTCAGTTTTTTCTTTTAAAACTTGAACATTTTGTTGAATAAATTAAATAACTAAGTAATAACGAATCAACACTCAGCTTTCAGTTTCAGTTCGCACCTGATTGTAAATGACATTATGTCATGGAAATTGTGTTTGAATAAAACTCAGAGATAGCAATATAGTAAGATAAAGTTTAAAATCAATTTATAAGAATGAACTTGATAGTTTGGTATGAAAGTCACTAATTGGTCCTGATGTCCGTTTCATTACCTCAGATGATTAATAGACACTTCCAATTAATTAAAAGTATAATAGATGATTAAGAGATACTTATAAATTAGGTAAAAGTGTACTAGTACAAAAGGGACGAAGGAGATGGATTGAAAATGTAAGCTGAAATATCATAAGTGGAAAGAAGGAAAATTTATTGTCGTAATATTTTTAAGATTTTGAATTGGAATAATTGTTATATATTTTTATTAAAGATTTGACTTTGAAAAGCATAAAGAAAGAACGTTAATACATTAAGAGAAAATATGAAGAATAAGACACTCTACTAATATTTTTAACGGATATGTAAAAAGTTTGAGATATAAGGCTATCATTTAATAATTACGAACTAAAGTTGAGAGAGAACATCAAGCTATTTGATGTCTGTGAAATCCTTGATGGTCACAAAACATCTATGGCATTAATCTACTGTCATAGCAAATATATGGAGGTCAATTGTAATCATTGAAACCAGAGGCGGACTTCAATGTGACAGTGACTAAAGCAAATAAAAAATAACATTAACCTTTCAAAAAAATATGATTTGACTCTATTCTCCCTTCAAACTAAAAACAATTATACAAAAGTGTTTAAATAAGTACTTATCAAATAAGAAATCCTCTTAACAACGCATTGGTTAGTGATTATAAGATCAAAAGGGTGTCATCCAAGCAGGTGAATCTTCAAAGATCCTCTAAATAATGTCAAAGATGTCTATGTCGATCTTTCTCCCTTGACGAGTAAGAGGAACCATGGTAATCCCGATCTGTAAAATTGAAATGTGTTAGATGGAATGCTAAAAGGAAGACGTATTCGAAACCCCATTAACAGATTTATACCGTGTGATGAATGGCGTTTTGACTTCTCCGAATGTCCTGCATCCAGTACAAAAACATAATTTAAACTCGAACATACGAAAAAAGAAAACGAAACACATCTACACACAAAAATAAGAAATCTAGAGACCTGAATCCTTTGCTCTCTCTCTAGAACGGTGACCACGATCCTTGAGCTTGTCCCTATCAGCTTCCTCTCGTTCATGTTCTTTGTCAGAATCCCTTCCTCGATCTCTATCTCTGGATTTTGTTCTGTCCCTGTCCCTATCTCTGTCTCTTTCCCTGTCTCTATCTCGGTCCCTATCCCTCTCCCTGCGAGTCTCGCTAATGACCTCTGTTTTACGGTCAGACTTGGACTTCAGTATGTGTTCCTCTCTTGCATCTCCTTCTGTAGCCATGCCTTTCGATTCATCATCAGACCTTTTGGAATCTTTCAGCTTATCAATGGCCACCTTCACCATAGCACCCTTGCTACCAATGGATTTAATATGAACTTCTCCTGGAGCACCCTTTGGCATGGCAGTTTCAGTATCAGCTGCCGGACTATGTTGCGGAATATCCTACAAATTGGCAGTGATTTAAAATGTGATATGATCAAACCCTTATCATCATTGTCAATAAAACAGGTTCAGACATTTGTCTAAACATATAAGGATGTTGATGTAAAGATATTACACCACTTTGGCAAATGTAGATAGCGGTAAAGTGGGTGTCACCTTTGGTGTTGATTGAGACTTTGATTCCGATGATTTGTTGGAGAATGTAAAGTCCCCGTCCTTGCAGACTGGTATATATTGTGCCTTTGGAAGGCTATAAAGATGAGCCAGAACCCTGCAGACTTCATCAATCCCAGACTTCTCCCCATCAAATGCCTTCCACCATGGTGGATTCTCTGGAAGGGGTACTTGGAACCTGCGAGCAGCAGCATAAACAACTCCACAAGCCACCACCTCACTCTTAAACCGAACACACAATGTAGTTCTCAAACTGCATGAGAAAAGAGCCAGCGAAATGGAAAGCATGAGATAGCAAACATAATTGTTCACCAAAAATATTATTGAAAATATTAGATGTAAAAGATGGTGTATAAAGTCATCACCAAAAATATTAGTGCATTGCAGTCAGGCAAGTGATAATAAAGCAACATTTTACTCCATTACAAATTACGCTTGGATGTTGATCAAATGCCGGCATACAAGATTATAAGTATCAAGTGTTTGCTAATAGCTACGATATCAACAGTTCTAATAGCTTAAATAAGGTTTTATACCCTTCAAAAGACCTCATCATTTGATAATAGATGGAAGCTAAATGGGTTCAATAGTTTAACAAGAATCTCAATTTTAAACCGAATTACAGACACACCAGATATTCCTCTGCGTAGAATGTAGTACTGTACAATATTCTTAAAAAATAAATTCATTTTATAACTACTGTTTTCACTTTACCAAGGCAAAAGTAAACCCTTTAAACTGTACGTTGCATCAAAGTAGAACATCCAAACTGTACCTTGATATAACACCCAAACTGGAATCGCAGCAAAATACTATAGAAGGATACCTTCCAAAGTTTAATGAAACAGAAAATACAGTATAATTCACGAGTCTTGTGGAAGGGAGGGAATAAATCACAGTGCAAAGTATGGACAAGCACAAAAAAACACAAGCAGCATCATAAAAATAATATCTGCAATTATGTACCTGTCATTAGCCAGATTCCAAGCTTCTTGCCTCAATTCTGGAGGTGTTTCGAGGGTAGCAAGGTAATTTGATATAAACTTATGAGGATGTTCAACATGACAAATGAATCCCATTTCTTTCAAAATATGTCTTTCTGTTCTGCTCAATTCCATTTTCAAATCAACATATTTCTGTTCATGAACAAAGAGAAAGAAAACATTCAAATATGAAATAACTAGAATTTATTGAAATAAGATTCATAGAATGTGTATGGATCCACTCGAAGTATGTGTTTGATGCTCAAATCACGTCAAATGAACACAAAAAACATGGAAGCTACTTGTACTTGCTTCCAATTTTATGAAAGTCCAAGCTTGAGGATTAGAACAAATAGTATGTCTGTGTACTATAGGCTAAGAAGAGTGAGAATTAGAAGCTTCTGACCTTGGAATACAAGTCTAAATGCTCCATTGGAAAGTTCTCCCTCCTGCACTCCATCCTGTGAAAAACAATAATTACTTGTCTGGCTTTCCTAGGGTTTTCCTCCAGTTTTGAAGCCAGCCATACACAGCTTGCAGCAACTTTCTGCAAAGAGACACTATGAGCTTAGTAATTCATGTAGCACAAAGAGAGAAAGCAGAGAGAAGATACTATATCACAAGATAATAATGACCTTGACATTGAACCGTGCAAATGACTTCTTGCAATAGAAACGATGAAATAGAACCTGTCCTGTAGCCATGACTGCTTGTGGCCTGTCTAACAATTAAGGTAACAATTTGGACTAAACAAGAAAGTTAAAATGAAATGAACACAATCAAAAGGATACAATCTGAGCAAAATTCCACTTTCTTGGACAAGATCGCAGCCATAGATTCTAAGGTTGGTCTCAGTGGCTTCATCTATGCCATCTTTTCTAGAAGGTGAGTTTGTTAGCTGCTCTTCTGAGAGGTAGAATGTGTCGATTGCTGTGTAGATCATCCTTTTTCTTTATCCTGACATAAGAGAGGGCACCGTTTTGCCAATAATATTTCAAAACTATGATGCCAAAAATTAAAAGTGAATCAAGGGCTTAACGGGAAGAAGCATTACACTATTACAGTGATTGTTTTTAAATTAGACTAGCCATTAAACAAGTTTCCAGTTCGCCAAGCCCAATCAGTGATAAGACTAGTATTTAATTTAAAAAAAGTAACCTGAGAACATTATGAAATATTCATAAAAACAAGTCCATAAATCTGAAATCGTAACAAAGCATCATCCAAGGTTATCAGCCTGCGAAAGAGCTTGTACACTGACTTTAGATTCGTTTACATCATTCTTAAAATAAATATCAATTCAACATTTAAACACAATAATAAGCAAAATAGTAAACAATAAGTTTAGTAGTGCATGATGACAATTTTACAAGTTAAAGCTATACCAAAATAAATAATTTCATCCAATATCCAAAACATCTACTCCATATTTCCACCCAATATCTGTCCCATATCCTACAACACTTTAACTTCTAGAGCCGACGATGCAGCTACATTGGCATGTGAAGAATCTTAACCAGTCCCACTTCCAGACATTTTATAATTTCAACAATTAAACCATGAACAGAAAAAAAAATTAACAACTAAAATTCAAAACGAACAAAAATAACAAAAATAAAGCAGAAAATAGAATTAGAGAATGAATGAGAAGAGAACTAAACAGCAGAGCACGAAAACAAATAGAAATAGAGAATGATTGAGAAGAAAGAAGGGAACCAAACACGCGCAAATGAAGATGAAGAGCT